TGCCCAGCCCAGATTCTATGAGCAGCGCCCTAGCTGTCTCCAGAATTGTCCGGTTCGCCCGTTCTGCTACACCGTTAGACTGTGGGGTGTAAGCCGTGGTCAGCTCCCTCTGGATGCCCTGCTTCTTGAGCCAGGCCGTCATCTCAGCTCCAAGGAACTCACCACCCCGATCTGTCCTAATCCGCTTCACCACACACTCCGCTTGCTTCTCCACGAATGGCAGCCAATCTTCCCGTATCGTAGAGGCGGCATGGTCCTTCTGCTTCAGCGGATATGCCCACATAAGCCTGCTCCAATCATCCACAATGGTCAGGAAGTACCGCTCCCCCTTGTGTCCCTGAACCGGCAGCGGCCCCACCAAGTCCATGTGGACCAGCTCCAACGGCTTCTTGCTCCTGCCAGCCACACTATGGAAGGGGAAACGGGTAAACTTTGAGAGCAAACAGATTTCACAGTTATCATCGGGTGGTTGTCCGTTCAGCTTCAAGCCCTTAACGGCTCCATCCTTCTCCAGCTGCTTCAGCAAAGGCATTGCCACATGCCCCAAGCGTCGGTGTGCCGTTGCCCAATCCGTCTCCCCAGATCTGGCCGACACTTTCACACCAACCCCTCCAACGGCGTTGCACTCCCCCTGGGATGCAGACCCCTCTCTAGCCTGCCCCTCACCATGCCACGCCAGCGCCGGCAGCTGCCACATGGATCTGTACACGTCCTTGCTCTCGTGCAGATCCCAAAGCACCCGATTGCCCAGCTTCCCCTTATAAGTGCGAGCCCCATCCGTGTTGGTGTTCACCCCAGCCTTGCCAAGCTTACGGAGGGAGATGAGGTTGGCCTTCAGGTCGGGGACGAGGAGAACGTCGTGCAGCACCACCGGCTTGCCATCCGCTCCCTTAAATGCAGCTCGTCCCGCACCAGCCACCTTCAACATGTGTCCAGAGGCAGAGCACACCTCATTAATCGGTGCAGCGCGTACGTCGTCCAGCAGGTCCTTGCGCGGCGTCATTGTCCAAGCAGCGCCTGTGTCCAACACCCAATAGTCCAGGGGGTGCAGCTCTGCTCCAGCCTTAGCAGAGGCGTCTCCTTGCTCCCCCTTGTCTCCCATATGGAAGAATTGGCCCGCGGTGCGCTCCTTCTTCTTCTCCGCACCGCCGTTGCCCTTTGGGTTGTTGTCGGACGAATCAGCGATCATGTTGGCACCGTTTTTCTGGTTCCTCCGCGCGCCGCCATCCTGGTGACGATTCTGGGGGGTCCATCCATCGGGTTTCTTATAGCACAAAAACCAGGGGTGCCCTTCCTTCTCACAATACCAGCAACTCCCTTTCATTTTGCCACCAGCACCCGACTTGCCCCCACGTCCAGATTTTGCACCGCGACCCCAACCGGTACCTCCTTGTTGGTCGTTGGAGTCGTCGTCTTTCTTTGCACCGCGTCCAGCACCACCGAAGCCACGTCCTTTGCCACGTCGGCTCCCTTGCATCCCGTAGCCGCTGCTGCCGTCGTCTCCACCCCTCAGTTGGCGGCGACGGAAGTCCTCCTCCAGAATCTTCGTCCGCACCCACTCGAGCGTCCACAAGCTCTGGTTCTGCGGCAGGCTCAATCCGCTCGTAAATTGAAGCCACGATTCCGGCAGCAGCGAGAGCATCTTCAAGCACTTTGTTTGCTCCGGGTAGGTGATTCCCGCGGTCGCCAACTTCGCGTAGAGGTCGCGCAATTTGTCCAGGACAGGTTGCACCGGCTCTCCCTCGCTCAGGCGCAACGCGGACAGCTCCCTCTCCAGCATCAATGTTGCAACAACGGAGGTCGGGGCGTGCAGCTCCTTCAACACCGTCCACGCCTTCGGACCACACTCAGCCTCCGGCAGCAGGTGCATGACGTGGTGACGCTGGTTCAGCTCCAAACTCTGCGACATCAAGTAGTAGCCAGCCGAGGCGCGCTCGTCCCAATCTTCCTGAAGGGCGGGGTCACTCGGTCTAGGCTCCTCCCCAATCATTAGTTTCAGCAATCCGATTTGACGGAAATAAAGTTGCATTTTCCAGGCCCAATCATCATAGCCCTCACCATTGAACTTCTCGACGGTGAAGTTTTTCAGCACCTCCTTGATCAGCGAGCCCTGGCTTGTTCGCGCTCCCCTTGGCGCAGAAACACCAGAATCATGGCTGCCGCTACGATCTTGGGCTGAAGTTTCACCAGCTACCGCCGAGGTGTTGCCCGCCATAGCTACCTATATCGAGGATCACTATAACGCAGCTCTGATACCAGCTTGTTGGTGTAAGGGCCTAATAAACTCAAGCTATTAAGACTTTATCACACTTAAAACCTCTCCTCGGGGTCACCTCCAAGGGTCCTTGGGTGCCTGGTACAAGACCAGCCCCTATCCTCGGGTCCGAGTTTGTAGAGAGAGGGATCAAGAGGGACTTAGTCAAAACAGCAAGAGTACCTTGAACGTCGCGCAGCGTATCGTGCAGACCGTCGATCGGATTAAGCTGAGAATTTCCTATATCGAAGCTCACTCTAAGAGCTTTAAAATAAGCCAAGTTGCCTCGCGAAAAGTTCTGCCATTACGAAGTTATGGCTCGGACAGCGTTAGCCTAGCGTTGGAGTGCTAGCGTACTAGCGTTGACTCGGGTAGCGTTCCGCCATCGCACCGCGTAGAAAAGAAATTCCAGCAAGGAAGGAATTCGCTTGAATCAATTTCACTATATTCAGGTACAAACAGAGAAGGAATAAATAGCTCTAGCTAGCAAGGACCTTGGGAATCAACCTGGGAACAACCAGGGATGATCCCAAATAATTCCAAGCAACAGAACCAACCTGGCTGAACAAAATAGCAGGTGATAGGTTGGTGAACAACCTCTGGTTCTGTTTTTCCAACCTGGGAAAACAACAACCAGGTTCAGGTCCTAAAAACAGAACCTGTTTTGTCTTTGCCCAACCAGCCAAATGCTGGTTCCGCTGGTTTCCCCTGGCCCTGTAGCATGCAGATACAGACAAACAACATCCAACCTTCACCTAAATTGTACCCCTATAGTGCCTGCCCTGCTACACTATAGTCAACCAAACAAAACAGTACAATTTCGAGTTGGATAGAACTGAATCTGCGCAATCAAGTAAGCCGAACCGCAAAGCTTCCATCTTGGGTTCCTTTGCGAGCTCGTCCTTTCTGCTTGTACTGTTCATAGCGCGTACAATGTTATGCCGAAGCGCACATTTTGCGAGTACCTGCAAATGCTTCAAGCGAAAATTGCGAAAGCAAACAAACACACAAACATACCATTCACACGCAAATGCATTCGCACACGCATACTCGTACAAACAGACGGCAGGATGTCGTGCAATGTGAATTTGCACCCAACAGAAACGACCCAGTGAAGCCAGGTGGGCGGCGCAGCCAGATCTCCTCGTGCAGGCTACCCTGCAAGAAAGCTGTGCTGAAGTCAAGAGAGTGGAGCACGTAGTCACGCTGAGCGGCGACGTGTAGCAGAACCCGAAGAGTGGTCATCTTCGGGGTCGGGGAGAAGGTCTGGAAGAAGTCAACTCCCTCTCGCTGACTGAAGCCTCGTGCAACGTAACGCGCCTTGAAGACAGGCGGAGAGCCCGGCGGCCGCTTCACCCTGAAAATCCACATGCCATTGACGATGTTCGCCCCAGATGGGGGAACCTCGTCGACGTAGGTGCCAATGGACTTCCAGGAAGCCATCTCTGTGTCCATGGCTGACTGCCACTGAGAGGAGTAGGGACCGGCCATCGCCTCTGCGTAAGAGCGTGGGGTCGGGATGTCAGGTGCATCCGGGTCTCCCTCAGGGGCAACAAGCATGGACACGAGATGGGGCAAAGCAGCGGCAAGGCAACTAAACTCCTCCTGTCTGTCCTCAAGAACGTCCGTGCCAACAGCACACTCACCCCCGATGGATGGAGGACAGATAGACTCAGACTCAGCAATAAGACTCGCAGCGTAGTCTAGACGACACGCAGCTGCAAAGTCGACAAGCTCAGTGACTAAGGCAGATGCAGCAGCGGACTCAAAGGAAGGGTCAGTGACAACTGTAGCCAGGAGACGTGTGACAGTAGGACTGGCAGCGCGAAGGGTGTCTGACTCCGGGTCAGCAAGAGCAGGAAGAGAGGACGCAGGAGGCGACGGGAGAGCGACACGCTGTGGAGCAGTGGACTGACGAAGCGCCATCTGGTGAGTGCCTGGGACAGCAGGAGGACGCTGACGCTGGACACGACTACCAGTGGTAGTAGCACGACCAGGCGACGCTCGACGAGACGCAGGTGACACAGGACGTGACGCAGGCTCACGTCTCTCAGCAAGACCTCCAGTCGGACCAGTGTAAGGAGTAGGCACAGGGAGTGGGGAGGCAGGCGGTAACTGTGGCTGTGACTGGACAGACGGCGGACACTCTAAGGCGAGAGGAGGACAAGGAGGAGGAGTCTGACCAAGAACCTGCTGAAGGAGCGGAACGAAGTACGGCCGTGGCCGTGCAGCAACTCCCGAACCAGTAGAGACACCAGCGGCAGGGTCCTCAGCACCAGCAGAAGCTCCATCCTCCGGGTCCCCCACTCCAGCGGCAGCAGCAGCACCTCCAGCAGCACCAGCAGCACCTCCAGCAGCAGCAGCACCTCCAGCAGCAGGGTCCGCAGCACCCCCAGCAGCTCCAACGCCCGGGTCCTCAGTACAAGCAGCACCTCTAGCAGCACCGCCAGCAGCAGCAGCACCTCCAGCACCAGGGTCCGCAGCACCCGCAGCAGCGTCAACTCCGGGGACCCCAGCACCAGCAGCTCCACTCCGGAGACTGATGTGCCGAGCGTACCACTCTCGAAGCTGTGGGGAAGAGGGCGGCTCCCGCCGTGGTGGGGAAACACGAGTACCGACTCCAGTAGCACCACGAGCCCGAGACGTACCCTGCCGGAGGCTGCAGTACCGTGAGTACCACTCACGTAGCTGCTGCGAAGAGGGAGGTCCTCCAGGCGCCTCACAGTCAACTGCAACACCACCAGGCTCAGCACCCCTCAGACTCAGCAACGCCAGGCTCAGTACCCCCAGACCCAGCACCCCCAGGCTCAGCACCCCCAGTCTCAGCACCCCTAGACTCAGCACCCCCAGGCTCCACCCGCTCAGGCTCCGCACGCTCAGGCTCCGCACGCTCAGGCTCAGCACCTCTAGCAGGACGCGAGTCGACAGCTACCTCGGCAGGCTCAACCGGGTCTACCTGAGAGACACCTGAGGGAGCGGCACCCTGAGGGGGAAGGGGGTCTACCACTGCAGCACCTGGCGCGAGGAAGAGAGGCGGGGGAGGGAGCGGGGCAGTGCGGTAGGGGAAGAGGCGGTAGAAGGGCACGGACTCGTCAAAAGTAACGTCCTGAGAGGGGAAGACGCGGTGCGAGGCGGGGTGGTAAAACTGCCAGCCAGACGCATCCGGGACAAAGCCAAGAAAGACACAGGGAGCAGTGCGGGAGGAGAGCTTGTCCGCAGACGTGTTGCGAACAAAATCTTGGGATCCCCAGACACGGAAGCGTGACGCATCGCCAACCTCCCCCGTCCACAGCAGTGTGGGCGAGGTCTCCGGAGCGGAGACACGGGGCCAGAGGTTGAGCTGATGCGCAGCGTACCGGACCGCAAACGGCCACAGAAAGTGGGGGGCAGCCGCGTGGACTAAGGAGGTACGAGCGACCTCCATGACCAAGCCAATGCGGCGCTCAGCAACCCCATTCTGCTGTGGAGAGGCCGGAAGCGTGAACGACTGGCGAATGCCGTGCTCAGCACAGTAGGCTGCCAAGAGGTCGGAGGAGAACTCGCCACCTCTGTCAGAGTGCAAGCGCAGGACAGGAAACTCCGAGCGAAAACGCTCTCGCAGCTGAAGACGTGCTCTGCTGATCCAAGGGATCAGGACATCAGGGACTTCACCCTTGGTGCGCAAGGGGAAGACCGTGGTGTAGCGCGAGTAGTCGTCAACGACGATCAAGAAGTACCTCTCCTGGCCCTGACCACGAACGCGGGCTGGGCCCCACACGTCCATGTGGAGCGTCTGCAAAGGAGCTGTCGTCGGGGGGAACGAGGAGGAGTGAGGGGCAGCGCGCTGCCGCCCCTCGACACAGGGAAGACAAGCAGGAGCAAGGGAGGGTGGGAGGGGAGGGAGTACCCGAGGAAGACCAGAGACAAGGTACCGGGAGTGCATGCCCCGAAGGCGCTGCACTGACGGGTGACCAAGTCGGTGGTGCCAGAGGACAGTCTTGTGCGCTAGAGAGCGACACGAGCAGGGGGCAGACAGCTGACCTGACGCAGACGCAGACGCAGACGCCGCTACCTGAGGGGACTCAGTGGTCAGTGTGTACAGGTCCGACCCCGGCTGCCGAGTGAAGGTAGCCAGGTGACGGCCCGTCCGAGCACATGTGCATTGTGTGTCACACGCTCGTAGGCAAAGGTGAACTGGTGAACACCCCCATCCTGAAGCGCACAACCCGCCACCAAGTTCGTAGAGAACGAGGGGAGGTGGAGACCTGACAGTGTGCCCGACGGGACAGCAGGACAAGGAAGGACAGTGGAGGAGGTCGCAATGACCGGACCCCCAGAGGGGTCAGCGAGCGAGACAGCGACTGGTCGAGCAAGGGGCTCAAGAGCAGTGCGGTCACGAAAGAAACAGCGCGAAGCGCCTGAGTCTAGAGTGAAGGTGTGCAGTGCCTCAGTGGACTCAGTAGTACCTGGGGTGGCGGACACACAAGCACCTAGAGCAGTAGCCTCACTAGCACCTGGGGCAGCAGACACGCAAGCACCTAGGGCTGCAGCCTTACTCGTGCGGATGCTTGGGTCAGGCGGAACACACAGGTACTGGTCCTCCTCTCCACTAATAGTCAATGCATACATGGCTTTGAGAATAACATCAAAATCAAGAGCATAGATATCGATATCCTTCTTGAGGAGATCAGCCCACTGAGGGAGCTCAGGAGCGTCAGGAAACTGAGCACGCCACGCGTCTTCTAGGCAAGAGAAGCAGCGCTGCGCAGTGTGCGCCCTCCCGCACGTCTGTCCCTTGCGGCGACCAGTGCGGATGACGTACGTGCAGCTAAGGTTACCCCCCCCACCCCCGTGCTGTAAGTACCACTCACGAAGCTCCTGGGAGGACTGAGGGTGCTGCGCGCTCTGGCCAGTGCCAGAGCCTCCACGACCACCACCGCCGCCTCCACCACGACCACCACCGCCCCTGCCGCCTCCACGTCCACTGCCGCCACCACCACCGCCCCCATCCCGGCCACCGCCGCCGCCGCTGCCTCCACCACTCCCACCGCTGCCACTAGCCCCTCCAGCCCCGCCACCACCCCCACCGCCGCCACCACCCCCACCACCGCCTCCCCCGCCGTCACCCCCACCGCCCTTGCCTCCCCTGCCCTTGCCGCTGCGACGCCCGCTGGGAGCGGACGCAGAGCCGACCTGCTCAGCACCAAGGAGGTCGACAGCAGCAGCAGAGGCGACAGAGGGGAGCAGGGGGGAGGGGGAACACCCCTCGAAGAAAGGGGTGCGGGGGTCGCCAGGAGAGGTACCTACAGCTACAATACTCTTCTCAGCTGCAAGTAGTTCCTTCTCTAGGGCGGTAATGGTGAGCTCAGTGGGGCAGCGAGCTAGGAAGTGGTCCCTGACTGTACGCAGAGTGTCAGGGAGGCGGGTGACTAGGTGGTAGAGAGTGAGCCAGAGCGGGGGAGGGTTGGAGGCAAGAAACTCAGCGGGCATGGCGGCACGGAAGCGGGCATCACTAGTGCGGAGGTGAGTGATGAGGTCAGCGACTGTCTGGAAGGCGAACAGGTCGGGGAACAGGTAGGGAAGCGAGAGGCGGCCTAGTGCAGCTGAGGCCGGGGAGGAGTAGCGCGCAACTACAGCAGTGTACAGGGCCTGCGCAGTCTGATGCTGGCCAAAGTGCTCGCGCTCGTCGACTGGCAGGGAGTTGCGAATAGCAAAGCGGGCGTGGGCATCGCGAGTCTGCCACTGTGAGCGAGCATTAGCAGCAGCAGTAGTAGCAGGAGGAGGGACTGTGCCTAGTGCGTGATCGTACAGCGAGATATCCTCTCTGGCAGTGAGCTGGAGGAACAGGTGCAGATCATCGAGCCAGGTCTCAAACTTAATCGGGCGGCCCTCAGCATCGAACGAGAGAACTGGAGGGCTAGCCATAGCTGAAGTAGCAGTAGCAGAAGTAGCAGTAGCAGAAGTAGCAGTAGCAGTGGCAGTAGCAGCAGCAGCAGCGGTAGTAGTAGCAGTAGCAGTAGCAGTAGTGGTGCTGCTGCTCAGGTAAGGAGGGCGCGGCCCGGCTAGGACGGCGCGGCTCGGCTAGGGCGGCGCGGCTCGGCTAGGGCGGCGCGGCTCGGCTGGGGCGGCGCGGCTCGGCTGGGTCGCGCGGTTCGGCTCGGGTCGCGCGGTGCAGCTGGGGTCGCGCTGTGCGGCTCGGCCGTAGAGGGGCGAGCGCGGGAGGGGCCGTTCAGGGGCCGGTCGGGGCTAGCGCGGGGCCATTTGGGGGCCGTAGGAGGCTAGCGCGGGGCCTTAAGGGGCCGTGGGAGGCTAGCGCGGGGCCTGAAGGGGCCGTGGGAGGCTAGCGCGGGGCCTTACGGGGCCGTGGGAGGTTAGCGCGGGGGCCGCACGGGGCCGTTCGAGGCTAGCGCGGGGCCAATCGGGGCCGTAGGAGGCTAGCGTGGGGCCGTAGGTGGGCCGTGGGAGGCTAGCGCGGGGCTACACGGGGCCGTTCGGGGCTAGCGCGGGGCCATAGGGGGCCGTGAGAGGCTAGCGCGGGGCCGACGCGGGGCCTTAAGGGGCTAGCGCGGGGTCTTAAGACGGGGCCGTGAGAGGCCGTAAGGGGCGACGCGAGGGGACTGTTGGGTGTAAATTCACATTGCACGACATCCTGCCGTCTGTTTGTACGAGTATGCGTGTGCGAATGCATTTGCGTGTGAATGGTATGCTTGTGTGTTTGTTTGCTTTCGCAATTTTCGCTTGAAGCATTTGCAGGTACTCGCAAAATGTGCGCTTCGGCATAACATTGTACGCGCTATGAACAGTACAAGCAGAAAGGACGAGCTCGCAAAGGAACCCAAGATGGAAGCTTTGCGGTTCAACTTACTTGATTGCGCAGATTCAGTTCTATCCAACTCGAAATTGTACTGTTTTGTTTGGTTGACTATAGTGTAGCAGGGCAGGCACTATAGGGGTACAATTTAGGTGAAGGTTGGATGTTGTTTGTCTGTATCTGCATGCTACAGGGCCAGGGGAAACCAGCGGAACCAGCATTTGGCTGGTTGGGCAAAGACAAAACAGGTTCTGTTTTTAGGACCTGAACCTGGTTGTTGTTTCCCCAGGTTGGAAAAACAGAACCAGAGGTTGTTCACCAACCTATCACCTGCTATTTTGTCCAGCCAGGTTGGTTCTGTTGCTTGGAATTATTTGGGATCATCCCTGGTTGTTCCCAGGTTGATTCCCAAGGTCCTTGCTAGCTAGAGCTATTTATTCCTTCTCTGTTTGTACCTGAATATAGTGAAATTGATTCAAGCGAATTCCTTCCTTGCTGGAATTTCTTTTCTACGCGGTGCGATGGCGGAACGCTACCCGAGTCAACGCTAGTACGCTAGCACTCCAACGCTAGGCTAACGCTGTCCGAGCCATAACTTCGTAATGGCAGAACTTTTCGCGAGGCAACTTGGCTTATTTTAAAGCTCTTAGAGTGAGCTTCGATATAGGAAATTCTCAGCTTAATCCGATCGACGGTCTGCACGATACGCTGCGCGACGTTCAAGGTACTCTTGCTGTTTTGACTAAGTCCCTCTTGATCCCTCTCTCTACAAACTCGGACCCGAGGATAGGGGCTGGTCTTGTACCAGGCACCCAAGGACCCTTGGAGGTGACCCCGAGGAGAGGTTTTAAGTGTGATAAAGTCTTAATAGCTTGAGTTTATTAGGCCCTTACACCAACAGGGACGAGGCGCACGAGGGCGCGAGGAAAAGGCGGCGCACGAGGGCGCGGCTAGCGGAAACGGTGGGCCCTAACGTTCCGGTCCTAGGTGGAACCTAGGCTCGTAATACCATGTGAGAATGAGAAACAGGAATGTGTGTGACTAGCAAGAACAACAGTACAAATATGAAACCCTAAACTGGTGTACCCCCTATGGTGTGACCCACTACAGCCTAGAACCACACAAACATATAATGTTTGACACCACCTGCTTCCGTCACTCCCTGGACCAACACTTTGACGCTGCTCGTTCCCTTGACACACTTATGTCAGTAGATCTGCACGCAGATCTACTAACAACTTAAGCGCGAAGCATAGTGGCTACTATGACAGATTTAGTTGAAGCGGCGGTTTTCAAAACCCCTTATAGTGATAGACCGTCGATAATCCCATCGTAGGATACAGATGCAGAACCCTTTCGAAACCGGCTCAACCTGTTGAAATGTATTCGTATACATTTATAAATGCCTACAGTAGAGTTTAGTGTAGTTATATAGTTTCCTGCCTGGTGGTGCACCATTTGCCCATTTCCTTGACTATATCTTGTATGCCTTCTATTATTGAAACACCTTTTCTCCTTCCACAACTTACTCGACATTTTCCTTACACCCCACACCCTCGAACTTCACCAAGTCACCTAAGCTACTATGGCTCCTAAGCCAAACTCGTTCTAGACTTCTTGACACAACCCTTCCGCGCGATTTGCAACTTTTCTCCTCCTACAATTACCATGACACGTGCAACACCTAACCAAGCAATGGAGGAGGAACAGGCCGGTCGCGGCGCGACGAGAAGGACGTTTAAACAAATCGATAGGGAGTATGGGGGCGGCGCTAAAAAAACTAATGTGTCTGTCGCTCCTGGCATTGGGAAGAAAAAAGCGGCGGCAAAAAAGGTCGCGCGCGGTCAACAGGAGGCCGGCAAGAAAGCGGAAGACAAGGGCCCTAAACCAACGCCACGCAAGCGTGTTTCTACAGTGAACAAAGATGCGGATGTTGCCTCTGCTGGAACCGAGCCCGGTCCGAGTAAAGACGGCACCACTGGCGGCAACAAAGATCCGGGGCGAGGGAGCGCGAGTCTTGCGCTCCCGTCGGCGGAGATGGAGGGATCGGCGACGGAGGGAAATCATGGAGGCGATCCCCGCGCCGAGCATGCCGCAACCAAGGAGTCCGAGGCGGCGGCAACGCAACACCATCTGACGCTGCTCCAGCCAACCGTGGTCGAAGTTTCTGCAACCGTGCTGGATAAGGACAAGATGGGGGAGCACGAGTTGGTGGGGCTGGTCGGTGGCTCTCCACCTTCTGGTGGACGGGGGAGGCGTAGGCAGAGGAAGAGCGATGGGGAGGACGATTATGACACCGCCGTGCCCGGGGACCACATAACGCAGGCAAAGAGGCGGCAGACGACAGATAGTGCTGACGACGCCGGAGGCGCGGTAGTTGGGACACCGCGAGGCGCCATGGAAGCTAGTGGCAAGGCGGGCGGTCAAGCATTGCGCCAGAAGGGCCGACCCGCAGCAAGAAAAGCATCCGGCGGAAGGAGAGGCAAGAAAGCAGCGACGGGAACAAAGCCGAAACGGGGCGATGAAAACCCCGGTGATGCGGAGGAGGAGGATGAGGAGGAGGATGTGGAGGGAGAGGAGGATGAAGAGGAAGCGAAGGAGGATGACGTGGATGTTGGGGAGGATGAAAAAGATGAGAATGATGGCGGGGAGGACGAAGAGGAGGAGGAGGAGGAGGAGGAGGAGGAGGAGGAGGAGGAGGAGGAGGAGGAGGAGGAGGATGAGGAGGAGGAGGAGGAGGAGGAGGAGGAGGAGGAGGAGGAGGAGGAGGAGGCAGAGGAGGAGGAGGAGGAGGAGGAGGAGGAGGAGGAGGAGGAGGAGGAGGAGGAGGAGGAGGAGGAGGTAGAGGATGAGGAGGACGAGGAGGACGAGGAGGAGGAGGAGGAGGAGGAGGAGGAGGAGGAGGAGGAGGAGGAGGAGGAGGAGAAGGAGGAGGAGGAGGAGGAGGAGGAGGAGGAGGAGGAGGAGGAGGAGGAGGAGGAGGAGGAGGAGCAGGGTGACAACGAGGAGGAGGATGTGGAGAAGGAGGAGGAGGAGGAGGAGGAGGAGGAGGAGGAGGAGGAGGAGGAGGAGGAGGAGGAGGAGGCAGAGGAGGAGGAGGAGGAGGAGGAGGAGGAGGAGGAGGAGGAGGAGGAGGAGGAGGAGGATGTGGCGCCAGTGAAGGGATGGGGCGGGCGTGGCAGACGGGTGAGTGGTACAGGGAAGGAGGGGGGCCGGACCCGCCCTTCCCTAAAACGCGGGGCACTTGACGCTGTGCGCGGCGAAGCATCGGGCAAACCGAAGGCGCATAGGGTGAAGGTCGAAAGTGAAGGGGTTGGTAAAAAACAAGGGAGCCAGGGAGCAAAAGGGGATGGAGGAGGAAAGGGTGGCCGCGCCAAAGGGGTTCCAGTGCCGTCCAGCAAGAAAGAACCTGCTGGTAAACGTCGCAGCGTCCGCCAAAGCACCTCGCGGAAAGGTGGCAACGAGAAGGCGCAGGCTGCCCCAAAACCAAAGGGACAGCAGAAAGGTGAGCATTGTGTCCAATAAAACTGGCGTGACGTGTTGAACCATCTGCTAAACAGTGCCAAAAAACACCCTTTTTTCAAATTGTTTCTCCCATGCAGGGAAGGAGAAGGTCGACGAATCTGCCAAGCAAGGTAAACCCTCTTGTCTCAAACCAGGACAACCTTGAACCCGATCTAGATTCAAACCTTTCTGAATATGCATGCATGTCTGGCCCCGCCTTGAAACCGATCGACTCTATTTTTTTTTTCCGGCTCCCTCTACATCTCAGCCCATCGCGGTACAGGCATTGGGCCGCCCGTAAGCGTGCAACGAATGCATCTAACGAAGGCTGCCAAAGCGAGTGTTACACCGCTCTCTTCCAGAGCACCAAGGTACTACACGCCATGGGCCGGCCCGAGCATAGTCGCTGCGACGGCACCAGGCGCGCCAAGAGGAGAGGAATCCGAATCCCCTCCACCCGCCCCCGTCACGCAGTCCCCACTCGCCTCACCCTCGTACCAATTTCGGCAACTCCACGCTTCTCCTGTCCGGGGCAGGGCGGTCTCCTCTCTCGCCAATCCTTCGCGCGGGCATCAGGCAGGCAGTTATGCCAATCCCTTCCCTGAGCTCCCCTTTCCTGCCAGCGTGATACTATGAGGGAACACGGGACTGCTGCAGAAGACGTTGATGGCATTGGCCAGAGGGGGGATTCTTCACACTCTTTTCCTCCGCTCATGGGTGCCCTAGGTGAAAGTGCGGAGCACGAGCGTTTGTTACACGGGAGGAGTTCCACGCGCTGCGGTCTGAGATGTACGCCATGTTTGCACAGCTCGGCCTGCGTCGTGGAGTACCTGCCAGCTATGCCGGCGGGTCGGCAGCCCTGCCTATGGCTGGTACCCCGCCGCCGATGAGCGCCGTGGACAAGGCACGAGTGCTAGTGTTGTAGGAGACAAACCCATTCCTGGTATGTGGCGGGCCACCTGGGGAGGGTTGGGGTTGACGTGGCAACAAGGGCGGGGTTGGGGCTGACGTGGCGGTTTCGAAGGGAACACGGGTGGGCGCGTGACGAGGCGACGCGTATCAGGTGGGTGGGGGGTGACGTGGCATGGGGTGGGTGGGTGTGACGTGGCAAGTGGCGCGGGTTGTTGGTGGACGTGGCGGATGCGGGTTGGGTGTGACGTGGCAAAAGGTGAGGGTTGGGATATGAGGTGGTGGTGAGGCATTTCCGGTGGGTGGGGGGTGACGAGGCTCTTGGTGGGGGGTGTGACATGGCAAGTAGGGAGGGTTGTTGGCGCATGCTGGGGGGTGTGACGTGGCAGAATGTGAGGGTTGAGGCTGACGTGGCGGTTTGGAATGGTACACGGGAGCGGCGCGTGACGAGGCGACGCGTGTCAGGTGGGTGGGGGGTGACGTGGCATGGGGTGGGAGGGTGTGACGTGGCACGTGGGGCTGGTTGTTGGTGGACGTGGCAGATGCAGGAGGGTGTGACGTGGCACGTGGGGCTGGTTGGCCAACGTGGCGGACAAGGAGGGTGTGACGTGGCGGAACGTGAGGGTTGGGGATGACGTGGCGGATGCAGGTGGGTGTGACGTGGCGGAAGGTGAGGGTTGGGGATGACGTGGCGGTTAGAAATGGTACACGTGACCACTGCGCATGACGAAGCGAGGCGTGTCAGGTGGGTGGGGGGTGACGTGGCTTGTGGTAGGGGGGTGTGACGTGGCAAGTGGGCCGGGTTGTTTGTGGACGTGTCGGATGGCGCAGGGTGGGACGTGGCAAATTCAAACAGTGTTGCTAGTCACCATCCCATGGTCACGCGGCCACCCTCATAACTGCTGGTTTCTCTCTTCCATGTCGTGTTGTATACCTTACACCCCTGCGCAGAACAATGCCTACTTAGTGTGCTCTCAGCTCATGTTTCTGAACCCGCCGGAGAAAATACAGTACTACCTTGCACCGGAGGAAGTGTTCGAAGCGTTCTCTGTCCACTTGTCTGCAGAAGGGCTCGAGGCAATGAAGTTGCTGTGGTTGCACAATGACAAGTCAACCATGGGAGTCTTCAACCACCAGCTGTCCTCAACAAGGTCAACTATCAACTCCACCCTCAGGCCAGCAGCATACACCGGCATGGGCCTTGCCAATTACAGCCATCTCGTGGATAGCCTGCCCACTGAGCTACACCCAACGACCTGGTTCGACAACGGTCAACTCCTAGCCGAGTACAGAGATGGTATGTGCAGTGCAACTCAAAAACACAATATGCCCTACCATATGCCCCTTGGCAGCTACATATCACCGTGCGATGTGGCTCACCCTGACTCTCATCCCCCCATTTGATTTCTCTACAAAACCCTTTCCAACCCATACCCTCCCTGCCAAAAAGCAGAATAGTGGGCCCTCAACTGGCACTTTGACAAGGCCACCGGGACACCCTTCACCAACCCCTTGTTCGCTTATGCGTTCAAACTCTCCTTCAAGAGGGGCGGGGCGGTGTTCACCAAGTTCAAGAGCCGCATGGTGGCATGGGGCCTGTTTTCGGTAAGGATGTGGATATGTGTTTGTACCCCCATGCCTCATCCCCTTAACCCCTTCCCTGTACTTCAGCAAAAACCCTGGTCGATTAGGCCTTTGTAGTTACGTAGATAGTGACGACTGCATCACCGCTTTGAGTTGCCTCAGTTACCCGTAACCTACCCTCCTCATGAACCATCCACCCAACCCTACACCACATTGCAGATCGAATGGCCCCTTCTGCAGGATAAGCGTCGCAAGCGAATCAGTAGCCAGCCGGAGCAGAACAGGCCAAACTACCGAGAGTGGTGCGGAAAGGTCAAACAAATGATCCATTTTGCTGTCGTGGAGCGGAGGATCCCCCACGATCCGGCTATGGGTGCGTTCGTCTTTCCGAACAAATTCCTCATCGACGACGGCGACCGAGATGTCGTGCTTGCCCACCGGGCACTTTCAAGGCCCGCCAGTGCGTAGGCTATTTGACCTGGTGCTAAGACTGCTTGTTGCTAGAATGCTGAACAATGGTTATTGTAAACTGCAATAATAAATGCAATTTTGATATCCTCAATATCCGAAATGAACAAAAACAGAATTTAGTTCTGAATAATTTGGTCACTAATTTGCAACAAAACGGATTGCGCCCGAATGTCATCCGGAAAAGCTCGCGTGCCAAATTGGAACTTGAACCGAGCCAAACCTTGTTGCGAGATGTGTCTCGGAGCTCCTATCAAATGACTCCAACTGTCGGTCCAAATTGGCTCCAGATTTGTTTACGCGAAGACAATCGAAATCAAAATTCGTCCAAACTTGGCATAGGGTTTTTATGATGTTCAGCCTTGGTTCCGGCTCTGTTTCGTGGCGGTCTACCCGCTCGTCTTCTGTTCTCGGCTTCAGCTGTGAGGCTGAGATCTACGCGGGGGCCATGGCTGCAGAGGAGCTACGTTGGCTCACCTACCTGCTGACTGACCTAGGAGAGCCGCCTCGTTCTCCTCCAGTTCTGTACGTAGACAACAAGGTCATGCTGGCCTTGTGTCGGGAGGACAGACTGGAGCACAGAACGAAGCACATTGCTCTCCGCTACTTTCTTGCTCGTGAGCTGCAGCAGGGTGGTCAGCTGCGCCTTGCTTACGTGGCCTCTGAGGCCAACATTGCTGATATCTTTACCAAGGCACTTCCGCCTTGTGATCATCAGCGCTTCTGTACGATGCTAGGTCTGTTAAGTAACGAGCTTAAGAGGTAGTTGAGAGTTTAGGCGGCCTAGGCTTAGTAGCCTAGGCCAAGGAGAAGTCGAGTGGTTTGTGCCAAGGGAGAGTATCGAGAATGGGAATGGTGTTCACTATAGCAAGAGAGTACATATAGCAAACAAGTGAAGAAAGAGGTGCACCACCTATAAAGTTCATATCTACACTACAGCTAGAACTACATGCAGGTATAAGAATATAATTCTCACATCCCCCCGTAACTGCATGCAGGAATAGCTAAGTGCAAAACACATCCTGCAGAGCTACACCAGAGACTGATAAAACAGCAACAGCAGGTACGGTAACAGAGCAGGTACAGCAGGTCGACAACAAGAAATTCCTGCCACCCCCTTACCCTCTCCCCCCCCTACCACAGGAGGGGCAGCAGGGAGAGTGAGGAGGCGGGTTGGCTCTGGCTGGTCACCCCCTCCATCTCCTCACCCTCCCCCTCCCCCTCCCCCCCACACTACTGCAGGAGCAGCAGAGGGGGGAAGAGAGGAGAGGTGGAGGGACGGCTGCTGGTTGGTCTCACACCCGCCACCCAAGTGCCACTCCCCCTGCTCCCCCACACCCTCACACCCTCCCCCCAGCGGCAGCTGCAGCAGTGGGAACGAAAGGAGGAGGAGGGGAAGGGAAGCACACTACGCAACACTCCAACACCCACCACCCCCATACCCTCCCCCCCACGGCTGCAGGGAGACGAAGGAGGAGGGGGTGGGCGGGAAGAAAGCCGCAGAGCGACTACAGAGGGTCGGCGCAGATAGGTCAGGGGCGGCTGCAGGGAGTGCAGGCGCGGGCTGAGGCAGAGGCAACGCCGAGTGCGCCAGGGGCGGGTACTTGGCGGTTCAGGACACCGTTGCAGGCGCCAGGGGCGGTTCCGCGGCGGCTCAAGGGCACCGTCGTGCATGCCACGGAGCGCACGACGAGCAGGGCACAGTCGCGTGTTACGGGGCGCACGACGGGCAAGTTTAGGGCACCATCGTATGCCTCGGGGCGCACGATGAGCAGGGCAGCGTCGCGTGCCACGGGGCGCACGACGGGCAAGTTTAAGTTTAGGGCACCGTCGCGTGCCACGGGGCGCGCGACGGGCAGAGAAGATGTCACTCGCCACCCCGGGGCGGGACATGACGAAAATCGCCACGCGCCCTAGGCGCGCAACCGGAAAAACAGCAGCGGAAGCATAAGGCGGGCCCACAGGCTAGGACGAAACACGCTCTAATCTCATGTTAAGTAACAAGCTTAAGAGGTAGTTGAGAGTTAAGGCGGCCTAGGCTTAGTCGCCTAGGCCAAGAAGAAGTCGAGTGGTTTGTGCCAAGGGAGCTTATCGAGAATGGGAATGGTGTTCACTATAGCAAGAGAGTACATATAGCAAACAAGTGAAGAAAGAGGTGCACCACCTATAAAGTTCATATCTACACTACAGCTAGAACTACATGCAGGTATAAGAATATAATTCTGATAAGGTCTTGTGCCTACTTGGCCTCACTTGCTCACTTCTTGACCTTGCTTGTACTGTGATATTTCTATACCTGCACCTGCTTGTTTATCTTTATATATGATCTTGCATGTGAACTGGCCTTGTGGCCTTGAGCTTGTGCTCGGAATGTGTGGTGACGTTGTGATCCACCCTGAGCTTGCTTTGCTTTGCTTGACTGGTCTTGTGACCTCTTGTTCTCCCCCACTTCGCCTATGGGGGTGTGTCAAACTCATATGCTATAGTCTGTGTAGGTTGTAGTGGGGTAGACAATATGGGGTACAACACTTTTAGGTTTTCCTACTTGTACCCACCTGCTTGCTAGTTCATCCATTCCTCGTTCTCTCACACGTCTCCCCACTTCTTGGGGTGTGCCGGTTCGCTAGGTGTTTTTCTCCAGAGCTTCACCTAGTCTGGGGGTGTGTTGGAGTAGGGTAGAGCTCGCTCTGGTCTTTATTTTGGTGTTCTTATATTATTTCTCCATTCTTAGAGAGAGTTACGCATTCAGGTTCGTGTTAGGTTCATTTCGTAGTTTTTAGTACAAACCAAAGACACCCTTTGTTCAATTAGGGTTTCCAACCCTCTCTCTTTTGTACCTTGACATTTCTCTTCCTAGTTCAACTTTTTCGACCCTACCTAAGTCTCTCGCCGTCCATGGCTCCTCTCATCTTAACAAGAAGCCGGCTCACATCATTCTCACATTTACGTTTTAGCCTTTCTAGT